TACGTCATACTTTGTGAACAGTTGATATCTAGTGCTGATAACCAGGAATGGCACACTTTGATTCACACATCAAAGTGCCCCAAGCGATGTATCAAAGTACCCCACAGGTGGAGCAGAATTGGACAATTCCCACTTATTGTTAATATCAAAATTATTGAATTATTCAATGTTTTTTATGAAAAAAATTAAAAATTAGTAATGTTTATATATTATTATATATTATGTTAAGCGGAGAAAATAATCATTATCTTCATTTAGTAGCCCAAAGTTAAAGTTAAAAAAAAATTGTGAATTTTGTACATGAAGCTCTACTACTACTAAAAACGTAATAAGTGTCACTCTCTTGTCTTATTTTAATTATTTTAAAATCTAGTAAGTGTTCTTAAGCCTAGTGTGCTTTGAATTGGTTAAAGTGACTTAAAAGATTTTTGGTTGGTCACGGACCAGCCTAGGTGTGCCTTACTAGGTTAAAGTTTCGAAATTTCTGATAAATTCTAGAATTTTGAAGCGGCTGTTACCGTCATTAGGTGAGTAAGTATTACGTTAAAAAAATATTTTCAAAACAATTTGTCCCATACTATGTTTTGTGCCAGAGCTGCCGAGCACATATTACATATTGAGGCGTAGTAATTACATCATCAACCTATTTATGCGTCCCACTGCTGGGCACGGGTCTCCTTTCGATCGCGGGTTTAGGTCATGGTCGGCATATTGGCTCAATGCTGTTTGGTGGACTTTACACGTTTTCTGAGGGTTGTGAAACTTCTTCGACGTGCAGATTTCATCACGATGTTTTCCCTGAATGAAGAGCTCATGGCAAATTTTAAATTTAAATTCTAAGAAACTCAGAGGTGTGATTGGAACCCACAGCCTCTGCTTGGGAGGCGGTAGGTCAAATCATTAAGCTACCACGGATTTTTCACAGTAGTAGTTAGTTTACATCTTGACAGTAATTAGTAATTACACTTGGTCACAATTGATTATTAATGGTCGCAATGATGGTGGGTTGCTCATTCCTTGAAAGAATAATAAT